TAAAGGTACATTCGTTCTTGATCTAGAAGTAACAAAAACATGAATTTAACAAATCTGCATGCACAAATACTGCAGGCTCATTCACTTGTGCTTGCAATGTTGGTTATACCGGAGTTGGTACATCATGTACAGGTATGTTACCTAACTGCTGCTCTAAGTTGCTGGTTCTTAAAATAATTTTAATGTGAATATAGATATTAGCGTCTTTTTTAATTAATCTTTGCAGATAATTTGTGTGTGTTCTATTGTGACTTTTTTTAAAGATTTTTGCATTTTGATTGATGATACCTTCTTTTTTGCTCTAGATCAAGACGAATGTACATTAGGAACGCATAACTGTGATTCAAATGCTGCATGCACAAATACTGCAGGCTCATTCACCGTTGCTTGCAATGTTGGTTATACCGGAGTTGGTACATCTTGTACAGGTATGTCTTCCTAACTGTGGCTTTTAAGTTGATGCTTCATAAAAGAATCTTTAATTCTACGAGTTATCCAATGGCTTTTGATTAAATGTAACGGATAATTTGTGGCTGTTCTTTTGTAGTGTGATGGCTTGTTTCTTTTCATTTGTTAATTCATGTCTCTTTGTTCTTCTAGATCAAGACGAATGTACTTTAGGAACGCATAACTGTGATTCAAATGCTGCATGCACAAATACTGCAGGCTCATTCACTTGTGCTTGCAATGTTGGTTATACGGAGTTGGTACATCTGTACAGGTATGTTATCCTAACTGCTGCTCTTAAGTTGCTGGTTCTTAAAATAATTTAATTGTGAGATATAGATATTAGCGTCTTTTAATTTAATCTTTGCAGATATATTTGTGTGTTCTATTGTGACTTTTTTAAAGATTTTTGCATTTTGATTGATGATACCTTCTTTTTTTGCTCTAGATCAAGACGAATGTACATTAGGAACGCATAACTGTATGCAAATGCTGCATGCACAAATACTGCAGGCTCATTCACCTGTGCTTGCAATGTTGGTTATACCGGAGTTGGTACATCTTTACAGGTATGTCTTCCTAACTGTGGCTTTTAAGTTGATGCTTCATAAAAGAATTTTAATTCTACGTAGTTATCAATGGCTTTTGATTAAATGTACGGATAATTTGTGGTTGTCTTTTGTAGTTTTATGGCTGTTTCTTTCATTGTTAATACATATCTCTTTGTTGTTTCTAGATCAAGACGAATGTACATTAGGAACGCATAACTGTGATTCAAATGCTGCATGCACAAATACTGCAGGCTCATTCACCTGTGCTTGCAATGTTGGTTATACCGGAGTTGGTACATCTTGTACAGGTATGTCTTCCTAACTGTGGCTTTTAAGTTGATGCTTCATAAAAGAATCTTTAATTCTTACGTAGTTATCCAATGGCTTTTGATTAATGTAACGGATAATTTGTGGCTGTTCTTTTGTAGGTGTGATGGCTTGTTTCTTTTCATTTGTTAATCATGTCTCTTTGTCTTCTAGATCAAGACGAATGTACTTAGGAACGCATAACTGTGATTCAAATTCTGCATGCACAAATACTGCAGGCTCATTCACTTGTGCTTGCAATGTTGGTTATACCGGAGTTGGTACATCATGTACGGTATGTTATCCTAACTGTGCTCTTAATGTGCGTTCTTAAAATAATTAATGTTGATATAGATATTAGCGTCTTTTTTAATTTCTTTGCAGATAATTTGTGTGTGTTCTATTTTGACTTTTTTAAAGATTTTTGCATTTTGATGATGATACTTCTTTTTGCTTCTAGATCAAGACGAATGTACATTAGGAACGCATAACTGTGATTCAAATGCTGCATGCACAAATACTGCAGGCTCATTCACCTGTGCTTGCAATGTTGGTTATACCGGAGTTGGTACATCTTGTACAGGTATGTCTTCCTAACTGTGGCTTTTAATTGATGCTTCTTAAAAGAATCTTTAATTCTACAGTTATCCAATGGCTTTGATTAAATGTAACGGATAATTTGTGGCTGTTCTTTTGTAGGTGTGATGGCTTGTTTCTTTTCATTTTTAATTCAATCTCTTTGTCTTAGATCAAGACGAATGTACTTAGGAACGCATAACTGTGATTCAAATGCTGCATGCACAAATACTGCAGCTCATTCACTTGTGCTTGCAATGTTGGTTATACCGGAGTTGGTACATCTGTACAGTATGTTATCCTAACTTGCTTCTTAAGTTGCTGGTTCTTAAAATATTTAATGTGAGATAAGATATTAGCGTCTTTTTAATTAATCTTTGCAGATAATTTGTGTGTGTTCTATTGTGACTTTTTTTAAGATTTGCATTTTGATTGATGATACCTTCTTTTTTGCTTCTAGATCAAGACGAATGTACATTAGGAACGCATAACTGATTCAAATGCTGCATGCACAAATACTGCAGGCTCATTCACCTGTGCTTGCAATGTTGGTTATACCGGAGTTGGTACATCTTGTACAGGTATGTCTTCCTAACTGTGGCTTTTAAGTTGATGCTTCATAAAAGAATCTTTTAATTCTACGTAGTTATCAATGGCTTTTGATTAAATGTAACGGATAATTTGTGTTGTTCTTTGTAAGTTTATGGCTTGTTTCTTTCCATTGTTAATACATATCTCTTTGTTGTTTCTAGATCAAGACGAATGTACATTAGGAACGCATAACTGTGATTCAAATGCTGCATGCACAAATACTGCAGGCTCATTCACCTGTGCTTGCAATGTTGGTTATACCGGAGTTGGTACATCTTGTACAGGTATGTCTTCCTAAGTGGCTTTTAAGTTGATGCTTCATAAAAGAATCTTTAATTCTACGTAGTTATCCAATGGCTTTTGATTAAATGTAACGGATAATTTGTGGCTGTTCTTTTGTAGGTGTGATGGCTTGTTTCTTTTCATTTGTTAATCATGTCTCTTTGTTCTTCTAGATCAAGACGAATGTACTTAGGAACGCATAACTGTGATTCAAATTCTGCATGCACAAATACTGCAGGTCATTCACTTGTGCTTGCAATGTTGTATACCGGAGTTGGTACATCATGTACGGTATGTTATCCTACTGCTGCTCTTAAGTTGCTGGTTCTTAAAAATAATTTAATGTGAGATATAGATATTAGCGTCTTTTTTAATTAATCTTTGAGATAATTGGTTGTTCTATTGTGACTTTTTTTAAGATTTTTGCTTTTGATTGATGATACCTTCTTTTTTGCTTCTAGATCAAGACGAATGTACATTAGGAACGCATAACTGTGATTCAAATGCTGCATGCACAAATACTGCAGGCTCATTCACCTGTGCTTGCAATGTTGGTTATACCGGAGTTGGTACATCTTGTACAGGTATGTCTTCCTAACTGTGGCTTTTAAATTGATGCTTCATAAAAGAATCTTAATTCTACGAATTATCCAATGGCTTTTGATTAAATGTAACGGATAATTTGTGGCTGTTCTTTTGTGGTTATGGCTTGTTTCTTTCATTTGTTAATTCATATCTCTTTGTTCTTCTAGATCAAGACGAATGTACTTAGGAACGCATAACTGTGATTCAAATCTGCATGCACAAATACTGCAGGCTCATTCACTGTGCTTGCAATGTTGTTATACCGGAGTTGGTACATCTTGTACAGGTATGTTATCCTAACTGCTGCTCTTAAGTTGCTGTTCTTAAAAATAATTTAATGTAGATTATAGATATTAGCGCTTTTTTAATTAATCTTTGCAGATAATTTGTGTGTGTTCTATTGTGACTTTTTTTAAATTTTTTCATTTGATTGATGATACCTTCTTTTGTTGCTTCTAGATCAAGACGAATGTACATTAGGAACGCATAACTGTGATTCAAATGCTGCATGCACAAATACTGCAGGCTCATTCACCTGTGCTTGCAATGTTGGTTATACCGGAGTTGGTACATCTTGTACAGGTATGTTTCCTAACTGTGGCTTTTAAGTTGATGCTTCATAAAAGAATCTTTAATTACGAGTTATCCAATGGCTTTTGATTAAATGTAACGGATAATTTGTGGCTGTTCTTTTGTAGGTTTATGGCTGTTTCTTTTCATTTGTTAATTCATGTCTCTTTGTTCTTCTAGATCAAGACGAATGTACTTAGGAACGCATAACTGTGATTCAAATGCTGCATGCACAAATACTGCAGGCTCATTCACCTGTGCTTGCAATGTTGGTTATACCGGAGTTGGTACATCTTGTACAGGTATGTCTTCCTAACTGTGGCTTTTAAATTGATGCTTCATAAAAGAATCTTTAATTCTACGAGTTATCCAATGGCTTTTGATTAATGTAACGGATAATTTGTGGCTGTTCTTTTGTAGGTGTTGATGGCTTGTTTCTTTTCATTTGTTAATCATGTCTCTTTGTTCTTTCTAGATCAAGACGAATGTACTTAGGAACGCATAACTGTGATTCAAATGCTGCATGCACAAATACTGCAGGCTCATTCACTTGTGCTTGCAATGTTGGTTATACCGGAGTTGGTACATCATGTACAGGTATGTTATCCTAACTGCTGCTCTTAAGTTGCTGGTTCTTAAATAATTTAATGTGAGATATTGATATTAGCGTCTTTTTTAATTAATCTTTGCAGATAATTTGTGTGTGTTTATTGTGACTTTTTTTAAAATTTTTTCATTTTTGATTGATGATACCTTTTCTTGTTTGCTTCTAGATCAAGACGAATGTACATTAGGAACGCATAACTGTGATTCAAATGCTGCATGCACAAATACTGCAGGCTCATTCACCTGTGCTTGCAATGTTGGTTATACCGGAGTTGGTACATCTTGTACAGGTATGTCTTCCTAACTGTGGCTTTAAGTTGATGCTTCATAAAAGAATCTTTAATTTCTACGAGTTATCCAATGGCTTTTGATTAAATGTAACGGATAATTTGTGGCTGTTCTTTTGTAGTTTTGGCTTGTTTCTTTTTCATTTGTTAATTCATGTCTCTTTGTTCTTCTAGATCAAGACGAATGTACTTAGGAACGCATAACTGTGATTCAAATGCTGCATGCACAAATACTGCAGGCTCATTCACTTGTGCTTGCAATGTTGGTTATACCGGAGTTGGTACATCTTGTACAGGTATGTCTTCCTAACTGTGGCTTTTTAATTGATGCTTCATAAAAGAATCTTTAATTCTACGAGTTATCCAATGGCTTTTGATTAAATGTAACGGATAATTTGTGGCTTTCTTTTGTAGGTGTGATGGCTTGTTTCTTTCATTTGTTAATTCATGTCTCTTGTTCTTCTAGATCAAGACGAATGTACTTAGGAACGCATAACTGTGATTCAAATGCTGCATGCACAAATACTGCAGGCTCATTCACTTGTCTTGCAATGTTGTTATACCGGAGTTGGTACATCATGTACAGGTATGTTATCCTAACTGCTGCTCTAAGTGCTGGTTCTTAAAATAATTTAAGTGAGATTATAGATATTAGCGTCTTTTTTAATTAATCTTTGCAGATAATTTGTGGTGTCTATTGTGACTTTTTTTAAAGATTTTTGCATTTTGATGATGATACCTCTTTTTGCTTCTAGATCAAGACGAATGTACATTAGGAACGCATAACTGTATCAAATGCTGCATGCAAAATACTGCAGGCTCATTCACCTGTGCTTGCAATGTTGGTTATACCGGAGTTGGTACATCTTGTACAGGTATGTCTTCCTAACTGTGGCTTTTAAGTTGATGCTTAAAAAGAATCTTTAATTTTACGTAGTTATGCAATGGCTTTTGATTAAATGTAACGGATAATTTGTGTTGTTCTTTTGTAAGTTTTTTATGGCTTGTTTCTTTCCTTGGTTATACATATCTCTTTGTTTGCTTCTAGATCAAGACGAATGTACATTAGGAACGCATAACTGTGATTCAAATGCTGCATGCACAAATACTGCAGGCTCATTCACCTGTGCTTGCAATGTTGGTTATACCGGAGTTGGTACATCTTGTACAGGTATGTCTTCCTAACTGTGGCTTTTAAGTTGATGCTTCATAAAAGAATCTTTAATTCTACGTAGTTATCCAATGGCTTTTGATTTAAATGTAACGGATAATTGTGGCTGTTCTTTTGTAGAGTGTGATGGCTTGTTTCTTTTCATTTGTTAATTTCATCTCTTTGTTTCTAGATCAAGACGAATGTACTTTAGGAACGCATAACTGTGATTCAAATGCTGCATGCACAAATACTGCAGGCTCATTCACTTGTGCTTGCAATGTTGGTTATACCGGATTGGTACATCATGTACAGGTATGTTATCCTACTGCTGCTCTTAAGTTGCTGGTTCTTAAAATAATTTAATGTGAGATATAGATATTAGCGTACTTTTTTAATTAATCTTTGCAGATAATTTGTGTGTGTTCTATTGTGACTTTTTTTAAAGATTTTTGCATTTTGATTGATGATACCTTCTTTTTTGCTTCTAGATCAAGACGAATGTACATTAGACGCATAACTGTTGATGTCAAATGCTGCATGCACAAATACTGCAGGCTCATTCACCTGCTTGCAATGTTGGTATAACCGGAGTTGGTACATCTTGTAGTATGTCTTCCTAACTGTGGCTTTTAAAATTAATCATCTCATTAAAGAATGCTTCATAAGGCAAGAATTCTGTCTTATCTATTTGCTACGGAAAGTATCAATGAGCGTTTTTGATTAAAATCGTACGAATCTGGTCAGTTAATTAATTTACTTCTTTCTATTAAATGTGTAGGAATTATAATGCTCGTAATAGAGTTATGAGAAAATGTTTGTGTTCTTTTCATTTGTAACATTCAAACACTCTCTCTCTTTAGGAACGCATGTGATTCAAATGCTGCATGCACAAATACTGCAGGCTCATTCACCTGTGCTTGCAATGTTGGTTATACCGGAGCTGGTACAGCTTGTACCGGTATGTCTTCCTAACTGTGGCTTTTAGGTTGATGTTTCATTAAAGAATCTATAATTCTACGTAGTTATCTAATGGCTTTTGATTATATGTATCAGATAACTTGTGGCTGTTCTTTTCTATGTTTTATGGCTTGTTTCTTTCCATTTGTTAATACCTATCTCTTTGTTGCTTCTAGATCAAGACGAATGTACATTAGGAACGCATAACTGTGATTCAAATGCTGCATGCACAAATACTGCAGGCTCATTCACCTGTGCTTGTAATGTTGGTTATACCGGAGTTGGTACATCATGTACAGGTATGTTTCCTAACTGTGGCTTTTAAGTTGATGTTCTTAAAAGAATCTAATGTAATTCTACGTAGTTATCCAATGGCTTTTGATTATATGTGCAGATAATTTGTGGCTGTTCTTTTGTATTTTTATGGCTTGTTTCTTTCCATTTGTTAATACCATTCTCTTTGTTCCTTCTAGATCAAGACGAATGTACATTAGGAACGCATAACTGTGATTCAAATGCTGCATGCACAAATACTGCAGGCTCATTCACTTGTGCTTGCAATGTTGGTTATACCGGAGTTGGTACATCATGTACAGGTATGTTATCCTATCTGCTGCTCTTAAGTTGCTGGTTTTTAGAAGAATTTTAACGTAACTTTGCAGACTCTAGCGACGTTTATAATTAAACTTTGCAGATAATCTGTGTGTGAACTAGTGTGCCCTTTTTCAAGATTTTTGCATTTTGATTGATGATACCTTCTATTTTGCTTGTAGATCAAGACGAATGTACATTAGGAACGCATAACTGTGATTCAAATGCTGCATGCACAAATACTGCAGGCTCATTCACCTGTGCTTGCAATGTTGGTTATACCGGAGTTGGTACATCTTGTACCGGTATGTTTTCCAAACTGTGGCTTTTAAGTTGATGCTTCATAAAAGAATCTTTAATTTTGCGTAGTTATCCAATGGCTTTTGATTAAATTAAACGGATAATTTGTGGCTGTTCTTTTGTAAGTTTTATGGCTTGTTTCTTTCCATTTGTTAATACATGCCTCTTTGTTGCTTCTAGATCAAGACGAATGTACATTAGGAACGCATAACTGTGATTCAAATGCTGCATGCACAAATACTGCAGGCTCATTCACCTGTGCTTGTAATGTTGGTTATACCGGAGTTGGTACATCTTGTACAGGTATATCTTCCTAACTGTGGCTTTTAAATTGATGCTTCATAAAGAATTTTTAATTTTACGTAGTTATCCGATGGCTTTTGATTAAATTAAAGGGATAATTTGTGGCTGTTCTTTTGTAGTTTTTTTGTTTTTTCATTTTGATTGATGTACCTCTTTTGTTGCTTCTAGATCAAGACGAATGTACATTAGGAACGCATAACTGTGATTCAAATGCTGCATGCACAAATACTGCAGGCTCATTCACTTGTGCTTGCAATGTTGGTTATACCGGAGTTGGTACATCATGTACAGGTATGTTATCCTAACTGCTGCTCTTAAGTTGCTGGTTCTTAAAATAATTTAATGTGAGATATAGATATTAGCGACTTTTTTAATTAATCTTTGCAGATAATTTGTGTGTGTTCTATTGTGACTTTTTTTAAAGATTTTTGCATTTTAATTGATGATACCTTCTTTGTTGCTTCTAGATCAAGACGAATGTACATTAGGAACGCATAACTGTCATGCAAATGCTGCATGCACAAATACTGCAGGCTCATTCACCTGTGCTTGTAATGTTGGTTATACCGGAGTTGGTACAGCTTGTACCGGTATGTCTTCCTAACTGTGGCTTTTAAGTTGATGTTTCATTAAAGAATCTATAATTCTACGTAGTTATCCAATGGCTTTTGATTATATGTATCAGATAACTTGTGGCTTTCTTTTCTAGGTTTTATGGCTTGTTTCTTTCCATTTGTTAATACATATCTCTTTGTTGCTTCTAGATCAAGACGAATGTACATTAGGAACGCATAACTGTGATTCAAATGCTGCATGCACAAATACTGCAGGCTCATTCACCTGTGCTTGCAATGTTGGTTATACCGGAGTTGGTACATCATGTACAGGTATGTTATCCTAACTGCTGCTCTTAAGTTGCTGGTTCTTAAAATAATTTAATGTGAAATATAGATATTAGCGACTCTTTTAATTAATCTTTGCAGATAATTTGTGTGTGTTCTATTATGACTTTTTTAAAAGATTTTTGCATTTTAATTGATGATACCTTCTTTGTTGCTTCTAGATCAAGACGAATGTACATTAGGAACGCATAACTGTGATTCAAATGCTGCATGCACAAATACTGCAGGCTCATTCACTTGTGCTTGCAATGTTGGTTATACCGGAGTTGGTACATCATGTACAGGTATGTTATCCTATCTGCTGCTCGTAAGTCGCTGGTTTTTAGAAGAATTTTAACGTAATTTTGCAGATTCTAGCGACGTTTATAATTAAACTTTGCAGATAATCTGTGTGTGAACTAGTGTGCCCTTTTTCAAGATTTTTGCATTTTGATTGATGATACCTTCTATTTTGCTTGTAGATCAAGACGAATGTACACTAGGAACGCATAACTGTGATTCAAATGCTGCATGCGCAAATACTGCAGGCTCATTCACCTGTGCTTGCAATGTTGGTTATACCGGAGTTGGTACATCTTGTACCGGTATGTTTTCCAAACTGTGGCTTTTAAGTTGATGCTTCATAAAAGAATCTTTAATTTTGCGTAGTTATCCAATGGCTTTTGATTAAATTAAACGGATAATTTGTGGCTTTTCTTTTGTAAGTTTTATGGCTTGTTTCTTTCCATTTGTTACTTCATGTCTCTTCGTTGCTTCTAGATCAAGACGAATGTACATTAGGAACGCATAACTGTCATGCAAATGCTGCATGCACAAATACTGCAGGCTCATTCACTTGTGCTTGTAATGTTGGTTATACCGGAGTTGGTACATCGTGTACAGGTATGTTATCCTAGCTGCTTCTCTTAAGTTGCTGGTTCTTAAAATAATTTAATGTGAGATATAGATATTAGCGACTTTTTTAATTAATCTTTGCAAATAATTTGTGTGTGTTCTGATGTGACTTTTTTTAAAGATTTTTGCATTTTGATTGATGATACCTTCTTTTTTGCTTCTAGATCAAGACGAATGTACATTAGGAACGCATAACTGTGATTCAAATGCTGCATGCACAAATACTGCAGGCTCATTCACCTGTGCTTGCAATGTTGGTTATACCGGAGCTGGTACAGCTTGTACCGGTATGTCTTCCTAACTGTGGCTTTTAGGTCAATGTTTCATTAAATAATCTATAATTCTACGTAGTTATGCAATGGCTTTTGATTAAATGTATTGGATAACTTGTGGCTGTTCTTTTCTAGGTTTTATGGCTTGTTTCTTTCCATTTGTTAATACATATCTCTTTATTGCTTCTAGATCAAGACGAATGTACATTAGGAACGCATAATTGTGATTCAAATGCTGCATGCACAAATACTGCAGGCTCATTCACCTGTGCTTGTAATGTTGGTTATACCGGAGTTGGTACATCGTGTACAGGTATGTTATCCTAGCTGCTGCTCTTAAGTTGCTGGTTCTTAAAATAATTTAATGTGAAATATAGATATTAGCGACTCTTTTAATTAATCTTTGCAGATAATTTGTGTGTGTTCTATTGTGACTTTTTTAAAGATTTTTGCATTTTGATTGATGATACCTTCTTTTTTGCTTCTAGATCAAGACGAATGTACATTAGGAACGCATAACTGTGATTCAAATGCTGCATGCACAAATACTGCAGGCTCATTCACCTGTGCTTGCAATGTTGGTTATACCGGAGTTGGTACATCTTGTACAGGTATGTCTTCCTAACTGTGGCTTTTAAGTTGATGCTTCATAAAAGAATTTTTAATTCTACGTAGTTATCCAATGGCTTTTGATTAAATGTAACGGATAATTTGTGGCTGTTCTTTTGTAGGTGTGATGGCTTGTTTCTTTTCATTTGTTAATTCATGTCTCTTTGTTGTTTCTAGATCAAGACGAATGTACATTAGGAACGCATAACTGTGATTCAAATGCTGCATGCACAAATACAGCAGGCTCATTCACCTGTGCTTGCAATGTTGGTTATACCGGAGTTGGTACATCTTGTACAGGTATGTCTTCCTAACTGTGGCTTTTAAGTTGATGCTTCATAAAAGAATCTTTAATTCTACGTAGTTATCCAATGGCTTTTGATTAAATGTAACGGATAATTTGTGGCTGTTCTTTTGTAGGTGTGATGGCTTGTTTCTTTTCATTTGTTAATTCATGTCTCTTTGTTCCTTCTAGATCAAGACGAATGTACTTTAGGAACGCATAACTGTGATTCAAATGCTGCATGCACAAATACTGCAGGCTCATTCACTTGTGCTTGCAATGTTGGTTATACCGGAGTTGGTACATCATGTACAGGTATGTTATCCTAACTGCTGCTCTTAAGTTGCTGGTTCTTAAAATAATTTAATGTGAGATATAGATATTAGCGTCTTTTTTAATTAATCTTTGCAGATAATTTGTGTGTGTTCTATTGTGACTTTTTTAAAGATTTTTGCATTTTGATTGATGATACCTTCTTTTTTGCTTCTAGATCAAGACGAATGTACATTAGGAACGCATAACTGTGATTCAAATGCTGCATGCACAAATACTGCAGGCTCATTCACCTGTGCTTGCAATGTTGGTTATACCGGAGTTGGTATATCTTGTACAGGTATGTCTTCCTAACTGTGGCTTTTAAGTTGATGCTTCATAAAAGAATCTTTAATTCTACGAAGTTATCCAATGGCTTTTGATTAAATGTAACGGATAATTTGTGGCTGTTCTTTTGTAGGTGTGATGGCTTGTTTCTTTTCATTTGTTAATTCATGTCTCTTTGTTACTTCTAGATCAAGACGAATGTACTTTAGGAACGCATAACTGTGATTCAAATGCTGCATGCACAAATACTGCAGGCTCATTCACTTGTGCTTGCAATGTTGGTTATACCGGAGTTGGTACATCATGTACAGGTATGTCATCCTAACTGCTGCTCTGAAGTTGCTGGTTCTTAAAATAATTTAATGTGAGATATAGATATTAGCGTCTTTTTTAATTAATCTTTGCAGATAATTTGTGTGTGTTCTATTGTGACTTTTTTTAAAGATTTTTGCATTTTGATTGATGATAACTTCTTTTTTGCTTCTAGATCAAGACGAATGTACATTAGGAACGCATAACTGTCATGCAAATGCTGCATGCACAAATACTGCAGGCTCATTCACCTGTGCTTGCAATGTTGGTTATACCGGAGTTGGTACATCTTGTACAGGTATGTTTTCCTAACTGTGGCTTTTAAGTTAATGCTTCATAAAAGAATCTTTAATTCTACGTAGTTATGCAATGGCTTTTGAATTAATGTAACGGATAATTTGTGATTGTTCTTTTGTAAGTTTTATGGCTTGTTTCTTTCCATTGGTTAATTCATATCTCTTTGTTGTTTCTAGATCAAGACGAATGTACATTAGGAACGCATAACTGTGATTCAAATGCTGCATGCACAAATACTGCAGGCTCATTCACTTGTGCTTGCAATGTTGGTTATACCGGAGTTGGTACATCTTGTACAGGTATGTCTTCCTAACTGTGGCTTTTAAGTTGATGCTCATAAAAGAATCTTTAATTCTACGTAGTTATCCAATGGCTTTTGATTAAATGTAACGGATAATTTGTGGCTGTTCTTTTGTAGGTGTGATGGCTTGTTTCTTTTCATTTGTTAATTCATGTCTCTTTGTTCCTTCTAGATCAAGACGAATGTACTTTAGGAACGCATAACTGTGATTCAAATGCTGCATGCACAAATACTGCAGGCTCATTCACTTGTGCTTGCAATGTTGGTTATACCGGAGTTGGTACATCATGTACAGGTATGTTATCCTAACTGCTGCTCTTAAGTTGCTGGTTCTTAAAATAATTTAATGTGAGATATAGATATTAGCGTCTTTTTTAATTAATCTTTGCAGATAATTTGTGTGTGTTCTATTGTGACTTTTTTAAAGATTTTGCATTTTGATTGATGATACCTTCTTTTTTGCTTCTAGATCAAGACGAATGTACATTAGGAACGCATAACTGTGATTCAAATGCTGCATGCACAAATACTGCAGGCTCATTCACCTGTGCTTGCAATGTTGGTTATACCGGAGTTGGTACATCTTGTACAGGTATGTCTTCTAACTGTGGCTTTTAAGTTGATGCTTCATAAAAGAATCTTTAATCTACGTAGTTATCCAATGGCTTTTGATTAAATGTAACGGATAATTTGTGGCTGTTCTTTTGTAGGTGTATGGCTTGTTTCTTTCATTTGTATTAATGTCTTCTTTGTTGTTCTAGATCAAGACGAATGTACATTAGGAACGCATAACTGTGATTCAAATGCTGCATGCACAAATACTGCAGGCTCATTCACCTGTGCTTGCAATGTTGGTTATACGGAGTTGGTACATCTTGTACAGGTATGTCTTCCTAACTGTGGCTTTTAAGTTGATGCTTCATAAAAGAATCTTTAATTCTACGTAGTTATCCAATGGCTTTTGATTAAATGTAACGGATAATTTGTGGCTGTTCTTTTGTAGGTGTGATGGCTTGTTTCTTTTCATTTGTTATTCATGTCTCTTTGTTCCTTCTAGATCAAGACGAATGTACTTTAGGAACGCATAACTTGATTCAAATGCTGCATGCACAAATACTGCAGGCTCATTCACTTGTGCTTGCAATGTTGGTTATACCGGAGTTGGTACATCATGTACAGGTATGTTATCCTAACTGCTGCTCTTAAGTTGCTGGTTCTTAAAAATAATTTAATGTGAGATATAGATATTAGCGTCTTTTTTATTAATCTTTGCAGATAATTTGTGGTGTGTCTATTGTGACTTTTTTTAAAGATTTTTGCATTTTGATTGATGATACCTTCTTTTTTTGCTTCTAGATCAAGACGAATGTACATTAGGAACGCATAACTGTGATTCAAATGCTGCATGCACAAATACTGCAGGCTCATTCACCTGTGCTTGCAATGTTGGTTATACCGGAGTTGGTACATCTTGTACAGGTATGTCTTCCTAACTGTGGCTTTTAAGTTGATGCTTCATAAAAGAATCTTTAATTCTACGAAGTTATCCAATGGCTTTTGATTAAATGTAACGGATAATTTGTGGCTGTTCTTTTGTAGGTGATGGCTTGTTTCTTTTCATTTGTTAATTCATGTCTCTTTGTTCTTCTAGATCAAGACGAATGTACTTTAGGAACGCATAACTGTGATTCAAATGCTGCATGCACAAATACTGCAGGCTCATTCACTTGTGCTTGCAATGTTGGTTATACCGGAGTTGGTACATCATGTACAGGTATGTTATCCTAACTGCTGCTCTAAGTTGCTGGTTCTTAAAATAATTTAATGTGAGATATAGATATTAGCGTCTTTTTTAATTAATCTTTGCAGATAATTTGTGTGTGTTCTATTGTGACTTTTTTTAAAGATTTTTGCATTTTGATTGATGATACCTTCTTTTTTGCTTCTAGATCAAGACGAATGTACTTAGGAACGCATAACTGTATCAAATGCTGCATGCACAAATACTGCAGGCTCATTCACCTGTGCTTGCAATGTTGGTTATACCGGAGTTGGTACATCTTGTACAGGTATGTCTTCCTAACTGTGGCTTTTTAAAAGT